TTTTTTATAGGCGCTTTCCGGTATGGCTTTGAGTTCCCTCTGCGAATTCTGTTTTACGTCTTCTATGGATTCAAAACGCGTTCCTCTGAGTGGTAATTTGAGGTTGGGAAACAGGAAAAAGTCACACGGTGCAAGATCAGGTGAATACGGTGGCTGTTCGATGGTATTTATTGAATGTTTGGCCTTAAAATCGTTGATAATGTTGAACAAATTGAGGTGAATCGGAACAAGCCGGGCGTTGACACGTCGCATACACAAATTGTCCACCAAAATCAAACGAGCCATCTCACGACCGATGCCTAGCTCTCGTGCTATCTCTCTAACACTCACATGAGGATTTTTGAACACGATTTCCTTTGCCTTTTCAATGTTTTCGTCGGTGGTAGAGGTCGAAGGTCGTCCAGAACGCGGCATGTCTTCGACGGTCGTACGACAGTCCTGAAAGGCTTTGTACCACTCATAAACTTGAGTTTTCGATAAAACTGATTCCCCATAAGCCTTTTGTAGCATTCGCAACGATTCTGCACACGAAATTTCGTTCGAAAAACAAAATTTGATGCAAACTCTTTGTTCAATATTTTTTTCCATTGTTTTTTTCGCAACGCACTACTGAGGTGAACTGGTTTCAACAGCTGCCGTAAACGAACTGTCTGACAGATCGCGCTCATTTTTGGCATAGTAATTAAGGACAGTGCTGCCAAACTACATAAACTTAAAATATCGAAAAATATACAGCGCGCGAATTTTAAATGAGAATTTCCGAAAAATTTTCGGTCACAATGTATACCATATAATAACTCGACAATACTTATTAACTGATAAGTTTTAATAATTTTTATAAAATTATTAAAAATATTAAATTCCTCTTTTAATCTAATTTCTCACTTTTATGTTTATAATAAAATAATTTATAAAGAGATTTTTTTCAAAAAATAGTGAGCTACAACAACAAAAATTTATTTATATAATATTATTTTAATTAATTGAATTTTTGGCTGACCATACAGTTGTTTCGAGTATTGCCAAATACCCATCATCAGTGGTCTTGGAAATAATTCTTGTAAATTCGATTTTATGCTCTGCCAAATTTGAAGCTCAGAGTCAGCGCTACTTAACCAGAGCCGTACTTGACTTTTATGTTCGCACACTTTTCTGAAGTTTTTGTTAATTTGTTGTGAAAGATACAATAGATACAAAATTGTATATGTGACCACCCCATAAAATATATGCAGTTTGGTACATATTTACACCGTAGATATAAAATAAACGTCAACTGCTCCAGATTAAAATATTTTTGCATAGAAAAATAATCAGTTTATGTCAAAGCAGTTATTATGTTAAAGTGCAAGACAGTGCAGGATATGCACATCCTTGTTATCACGAGTGCAGTTCATACTTAATTATTAAAGCAAACGCTTTTAAAGCTCTAAGTGATGCTAATATGCTAATGTCAAATTTAATAAACTGCATATTTGATATGACATAAAGGGCTTGTTCTCACACTAGATGATTTCAACGGAGCGATCTATGAGTGATTTTCAACCGCAGCTGTGATAGAATGGAAGTGCACGTTACAAATAATATATCATGGTTATATATACATATTTAATTTTATTCAATAATTATATTAACATTGCAAGCCATTTATGTAAAATTTTATATTTATTTTTGATTTTAAAATTATATTATACAATTTCAATAAATAAAACATACTTATTTAGACAGCAAAAAAAAGAAAACAGAAATCGAGATAACAGTATAGATTTTATATATCGTATATCAATATATCTCCCAAGTATCTATAAATTTGACAGCACATGCTCTTCGAAAAAACAAATTTTTTTCAAGAATGTACAATTTTTTGAAGTCTTCATTATTAATATAATAACTTAAGCAAATCACTAAAAATAATTTTTTTTATATGTCTTATATATAATTTCAATTTTTAGTGCCATAAAAATCGTTTCTTTCATGAGACCTAATCGGTAACTTACTTTAACTCGAATTAAATACTGTAGATAGAGTGAGACGACATCTAAAATGTTGAACTTCATCTCTTCTTAACAGTTGTCAAAGAACTACTTTACCTAAAATCTGTTTAGTACATAAGACAATCATTTACTAATAGACTGTATGACTCTCTTAAAGATTTTGGTATGATTAATATTGCAACTAAACAAATTCTTTAGTCTATTACTACTTATTCTACTATAGTAGAATAGTATCTTGCAAATAGTATCTTTTCAGATACATTTCATCTCTTCCTAGCAGTTGTCAAAAAAATGCTTAACTTAAAATCGCTTTAGTACAAAAGACAATCATTTACTAATAGACTGTATGACTCTCTTAAAGATTTTGGTATGATTAATATTGCAACTAAACAAATTCTTTAGTCTATTACTACTTATTCTACTATAGTAGAATAGTATCTTGCAAATAGTATCTTTTCAGATACATTTCATCTCTTCCTAGCAGTTGTCAAAAAAATGCTTAACTTAAAATCGCTTTAGTACAAAAGACAATCATTTACTAATAGACTGTATGACTCTCTTAAAGATTTTGGTATGATTAATATTGCAAATTCTTTTGTCTATTATTGCTTGTTCTACTATAGTAGAATAATAACTTGCAAATAGTATTATTTCAGATTCACTTTATAGATTCAGTAGTAGCCAGTTAAGTTGGTTATATGTGTATTACTTAAAATATGGAATTTTATTCTTTCTTAACTACTGACAAAAGTCTACTTAGTTTAGAAATATATAGATCCATAAGGTTCTATTTAGTCAAAAGTGTATATGATATTATCCGACGGTTTGGCTTAATCGATATTGCAACTAAAAATATTTCTGTTGTTTAATTGAATCGAATTGCTTATTGGTTGTTTGTGCACCCCATAGAGTTAAACATCTTTCCTGCAGCTAATATCTTATCCAAACAATTTTACAGATTGACTAGTGTTCTTATGTATTAAATATATCAACATAATACTACTTTTTACATATAACCTGCTAAGTAGACCCTCAGCGACTTCTACTATTCTTATTGCACCACTATAAGTACATTAAAGATAGTTTCCGTAGAGTAGTTGAAAAAAAAATTTAATAAAATATGAAATGTTACTAAAGATTTCACAAAAAAAAAATTCTAGCAAATAAATATTTATCGCTTAATTTTAATTCTGTAAGTAGTTTATGAAATCTTCTTCACAAAAGTTGGACAATGAATGACTTTAAATCGAGTACGTGCTAGTATTTTATAGAAGATAGTTTGAATACTAAATTTCTTTTTTAAATGCTTTTAAAGTTTTTGTTACTACCATTTTAACCTATGAAGCATTTTGTGAAAGTACAGTATGTCTGACACTTTTTTGAAGTATCTTAATGAGTTTCCCAGCATAGAAGCAAATTATGTTCCATGACAAGTAATTTGAAAAATTATAATTACATGTACTTAAAAAATTCTTCGTACTTGTTCCAATTTTGTTTTAAAACTGAAATTTAAAAATATTCTATAAATATTTGCACTTACATATACCCGTATGTTAACATATCCTTCCTTAGCAGAACAGAGCTGAGGTTACTGGTGGGATATTTAACGGGTCACCATGGACTGCATAATCACCTTAACAAAATGGGTTTGTCCGAAGAGATATATTGTCGACTGTGTTTAGAAGCAGACGAGACTTCTAGTCACATTCTTTGTGACTACCCAGCCTAGATCAGGGGCAGCGGGAACTCACTGGGTCGAAAACTATTCTCCGCTTCTAACATCTTCCAATCTATTTGGTTGGGGGCTGTTGCAGCCCTGTTTATTTTTATTCTATTCTATATCCGTATTTAAAAATAAATACCAATTTAATTTCATTTCTTGTTAAGTTCTTATTTTCATAAAAGTCCAGTTTAAAAAAATGCATTAAAAACACTCAGTGACCTAAAGATGACTATGGGCTATAATTGAAATTCCGATGTAAGAAAAATATATTTTTTAAAACTAATGCAAACTTTTTGTATTCTTTGACATTGATCAATTAACCCATTAAAAAACTCGTATCTGCTGTCTCAAACAAATTATTTTAAAATATTTAAATACACGAATTATTTCCAAGACCACTGATGATGGGTATTTGGCAATACTCGAAATAGCTGTATGGTCAGCCAAAAACTCAATTAATTAAAATAATATAAAAAATAAAATTTTTGTTGTTGCAGTTCACTACTATTCGAAAAAACCTCTTTATAAAAAATAAATTAAATCTTATATTAATCTCGTTTTCTTAGTTTCCAATTCCTCACTCACTTTCTTTTAAACCTCACTTTCTGGGCTGCTTAACCATTTGTATGGAATATTTCAATATCACATTTAGAATTGAATGCCTCTTTCATTATGTTCTATATTCTTCAGAATATTACAATGATGTATAATACGTTTATATGTATATGATTCACCATTGCGTTGGTGACGACTTGGCAGGAAACCTCAAGCTAAATGAGCTGCTTGCATTAACAAAAGATGTAGTTATGTGAACGGAAGCCACTCCAGCTTTAACTCAATAACAACATCCGAGAATCGAAAGACGAAAAAGGACCCAAGTCGTTTCGTGGTCTACTTCGACTAATCCTTCACTTCAGTGGGGCCACTTGTTGGACAGCGCACTGACCCAACGTCCCACCATATAATAATATAATATGTATATGATTTCAGTGAAAGTTATAGAGATGTAAATTTATTTCAATATTTTTTTAATGAAAACAATTTTAATAATATTATATAAAATATAACTCATACATATCATGGTTTATTTCAATAATTTTGTAATGAAAACAATTTTCATAATATTATATATATCATACCTCATACTTATCGTGGTATGTGTACTATGTATGTGCAATCTAAGAAATCTGTGACTCCATTTATTACAAATAAATAAATTTAAATAAAATTTAAGTAATTCCTTAAATATATTATATATAACATTTATTCTTTTTAAATCGTTTCAGTAATTCAAAATGCCTCCAAACACAAATGTGGAAGAATCGCAAACAATCGAGCCCGCGTCTGAACCAGAAGTCGCTAATCAAAATGCTGAGGAATCAACACATCAGTCGGCGTTCCGTGAAAATGCACAACAGATAGAAAATCAAATGGTTCAAAGAGAAACGACAACTTTGATTAGTAAAATAACAACAGAAGCTGAGGGTAAGCGAAACTATAGCAAATCTTTATTTCTATTATAAAATATTAATTAAAAAAAAAACAATTTTTTTGAACATATAGAAGAAAAAACTACAACTACCGCCACGCCTGTCTTTAAAAAAATTGAACATGCCAGTGAAGTGGTTACTGAAGTAATTGCTGAGAAGACTGGCTTGCCTACATGGGGTGTTGTCGCCATTATAATACTTATTTTTCTAATTGTATTTGGTATTATATTTTTCTGTGTACGTAGATTCTTAAAAAAACGACGGACTAAAGATGGTAAGGGTAAGAAAGGTGTCGATATGAAGTCGGTTCAATTATTAGGATCGGCCTATAAAGAAAAAGTAAGTATCAAAAACGCCACAATATCTTAGTAGTTATTGGGTTCTGGTATGTCATAGGTTCAGCCTGATATGGAGGAATTAACTGAAAATGCTGAAGAAGGGGATGAAGAAGATAAACAAAGTGAACAAAAGTTAGGCAGACTTAATTTTAAGGTAAGTTCAACTTTATTTCAATTATTGTGTAAACCTATAAGTGATGCAGCGGTTCCACTATGATAACAATCCAAACACAAATAGTAAAAATTATAATATTATTCCTGTTAAATATAAGGAAGGTTGAAGTGAAGAGGACATAAACTATGTACATATTAATTAACATTTTTTTTAATATGTTAATTATGTTATATGTATAGATTCGTGTATATCATAACAAAACCCGTAAAAAAAACAATCTCATCATTGAAATTAACTTAATAACTTCATTAATTAATTATTAACTCAATTACCTCAATGACTGAAATTAAGTCATTGACATGAATTTATATATATTGCCATTTATTTTAGATTTCTATAAAATTCTAAATTTTTTTATATAACATTAGAATTCTAATATGTAGAAAATAAATTTACAGTACCAGATATTATATCATAATCATAGAATTATGAACAGATATTTGTTTAATAATTAATTTAATCATTGTGTGAATTTAATTAATTTAATATTGCCATACTTAATCGCCATTTAATAAGATTATCCATATATTTAATTCTTTTTTATATTCACAATATTTATGAACTTTATATGTATTCTTTCTTAATAACTTTAAATGTTATTATAAACGAAGTTTTATTATAAACGAAGTTTTATTATAAACGAAGTTCTAGTTTTAATTTGCACGACTTTTAATCGATACCAAAAATTTTTAATAAATTTATTTTTTTTTTTAGAATTAGTATATAATTCTGAAAATTTGCTCACTCAATGAAAATTATATCACTGAAAACTTTTTTTAATTTTCTTTTTGATCTCCAATTCGAATATTCTACAATTCGTAGTTTTCTTGTAATTAAACAAATATATCATATCTTATTTCAAATCAATGAAATCAGATATATATATATTTATATAAGCCTTTTATTATTATCTATAGTAATATTGCAATCATACTATCATGATCTTTTTTAAAAAGCCTCAGAATATACAATACATATAAAATACATAGCAATTAAACATTTTTTATCGTAGGACTGCTCACATTTAAATAAAATATATATAAGTGTGAATTTACTAATGATTATTTCTTTATTTTGATTTTTTTCTTTGCTTCCCGGATTACCAAATTATCTTTCCACCTTTTTTACTGCTTTTTATTACTTTTTCCATTTTTTCCAATTATGTTCTTTTACTTTTTTCTATTAAGCTTGAGTATGACTTCAATTCAAACAGTCTTGCTGTAACTGTTATTCAAGCCGAAGAATTGCCAGCGCTTGATATGGGTGGTACATCAGATCCGTATGTTAAAGTTTATCTTCTACCAGATAAAAAGAAGAAATTCGAAACCAAAGTGCATCGGAAAACGTTGAGTCCAGTTTTTAATGAAACCTTTACATTTAAGGTTTGATTTTGTCTATAATATAATCTAAATTTAATTATTTTTATATTAACTCATAATTATTTTATATATAGAGTTTACCCTATGCCGACGCTATGAATAAGACCCTTGTATTTGCAATATTTGATTTTGATCGTTTCTCCAAACACGATCAGATCGGTGAAGTTAAAGTACCACTTTGCACAATTGATTTGGCGCAAACCATCGAAGAATGGCGAGATTTGGTCAGCGTTGAAGGAGAAGGTGGTCAGGTATGTAAACGTCTTATAAATGAATATTCATATTATAAGATTAAAACATTTAATGTTTTTTTACGTATGATTAAAATTTTTATTACAAAGCCAAAAGATGAAATTAGTAATTGTAATAGTTTACACTTTTATTTAATGAAATGTTTTAAGAAGAAAAGAAAATAATTAAAACATTTAAAGCAAAACAGTGTGAAAAGAGATTGTGTCATGTGTGTGTCCTCATACCTTTTCTTACAAAAATTTATTAAATTTATCTGTAATTAAATCCGAAGAGAGTAAACTACTAATTATTAAACAATTCTTCGTTATGAACAATATAACAACAAAACAATTAAGTACTCGTAAAAAAATCAATACCAAAAACAAGTGCAACAACCTACACACCCAGTTCAAAATGCAAAAATTATCTATTAAAACTCCGAATTTATTTATATATACTACAATAAATATATATATTATATATATATATTACTAAATTTTACTTTTTTTTTCTTCTATTTTTTATTTTTAGTCTAAACTTATAATTTAAGATATAACTTATGAGTGCTTATACTAAGCAAGATTATGAAAATAACAACAGATTCCTATTTAAGAAATTTAATAAATTATTAAAAACGATTAATAAAATATTGACCTCTCTCACTTTCAGTTTATTTCACAGTATATTCTGCATCCAATCTGAATATGAAATTATAATAATAATAAATGTTATAAGGTTTTATTTCCTGTTGAGTTACCAATCACCGTTCTTCCGAGTTCTCTATGCATATCCAATTGTTGGTTATTACATACTTACATACTTTCCCCAATTTAAAATACTATATGACAGCTCAAAATGACTTTATTTTATTTAAAATATATTAATAAAAAATTCAAAAAAATAAGGAGTAAATCTGTATGATAACTGCAGACTCTGTTGCAAAGAAGAGAAAACAACAGAACACATTCTGTAAGAGTCTTGCCAGATTCAGACTTCGTTACTTATCAACTGCCTATCCACTTATAACGAAATTAGGCAACATCTTTCCAAAGAACATAATGGCGTTCTTAACTGCTACTCGTCTATGGAACTAAAGTGGATTTGTCACAATAATCCTCAAAGGATGCAGTGACATGGTGATAAGTTCTCAACCCGTTTGAAATCTATCTAATTTATCTATCTGATATATATCTTATAGTAATATTCATTTTGTGTCCTTCTTTTCATCTTAGGAACTGTAGGATACAATTCATCAGTTTTGATTATCAGTGATGAATATGTTAGAGTCCACAAAATTAAAAAACTTAACATATTTATATTAAACTAATATATAATTATTTAAATTAATAAATTAAAATGTTGATATTTGTTTATATGCTAACATAAAAACAGATATTCAACAAATTGTTTAAATGTTATTACAGAAGTATTTATATTTCTAAAATTGCTCTCAGTTCTCAGCCTATATAATTGCTCTCAGTTCGAAGAGTTCAACTGCAGTTAACGATTTTTTTTTAATGCTAATTCAAATCAGGGGCATAGTAGACCCGACGGTCGCTGTGCCACATTTCCTAACATTCAACGATGTTGTTATATATATAATAGTTTCAAATAATAATAAACCAAAATCAGTGGATGCAGAATATATTTCAATCTATATAATAGATCAAATGAAGAATTTACTTACCTGTTCTTATTTAAATTGAACTTTTTTTAATTAGGTTTAAACTAATTTTTTTTTTTTTTGCATTGAACTTTAAATTTTTTAAACTTTCAAAAAACACAATAAATAAAACTTTACTATATTTTCTTTTTCGATTCCTCCCTCTATCATAAATTATATAATAACCTTGATTTCAACCTTTGTAGAAGGTAAATAAATATCAACATAAAACCTTTTAAAATGTTAATTTTTAAAAATAATTGAATTAAATACAAAATAGTTAACACTATGCATATATATTTCTTAAATTAATTTTATTTCACAATTTCACTAACAATTTTACCAAAATTTACCTTAAAATAAAATAACGCATACTTTACCTATTTAATAAAGTTTTATGCATTAAAAATTTTTTCTCAAATTATTAATATTGTAGTTAAATTTTTGTGTTTTAATTTTGAATGGAATTCCTTAAAGCAACTTTTATATAATAAATAGCATTTTAATTGTAAATTAACAAATTATATACATTAATATGTCATTATTGAGCATATGCATATATTAATTTTGAACTTGTAAAATAAGAAATCATTTTTACATTAATAATTATATATAAATTAAATAAAAAAAAAAATTAATAATACAAATGTTTATGCTACAATATTATTTTATTGAGAAAAATAGAGAATCCGAAAATTTCGATTTTGTTTCATTTATTTATTATTATATATTTGAATTTTAATATTATATTTTTTTGCCAAATTATTCTCTACAAATTTTAAACAAATTGTAAAATTTTGCATTTACGACAAAACAATTTATTTAGAAATTTTATTCAATTCCATTAAACATCTTCCAGAATATTTATAGCAAATAATACTAAAAATTAAAAAACTTATTTAAAAAATCAAGAAGAAGACGAGTCTAATAAGGTACTAGAAAAAATATTTACAAATCTCATATAAGTGTTTCCTCACAACAACTTAAATGAAAAAGTTACTATTAGTAAGTTTTCTATATCAAAATTATTGTTAAAATAAATTAGCATTTATGTCAATAAAAGTTTCAAAAATATTTTTAATAAAATTACTTACCAAATACAAACCCGAATTATTCGAATTGTTCGAATTGTAATCGGCAGTATACATAATTGCATTTTAAAATACGAACAAGACCATATCTTAAAATCATATCAATATATATATTTAATACTGATCAAAAACTATTCTTAGTTACTATAACTATAGTACAACCGTATAAGCGACATACTGAAACTAATATTATTATAAATAATAATATACAAAAAAGGCTTCAAACAGTAATAAACAAACAACAACAAAATTTTAATTAATTTATTGAAATTGGGCTGACTATACAACCTTGTTTCGAGTATTGTCAACTACTCAACACCACTGATTTTAAGAAATATTCGATTTTTTATTAAATTAGTTTATAGTTCGTATGTTATTTGATGGACTACAAGAACAAACCCTTCTAGTTTCTTTTTGTCATAAGACGCGTCACACTCGACAAAAAAAATCGACGTTAATAATGCACTAATTTTAATAATAATTTTAATACATACACTTTTTGATGCTGAATTGTGCATAAGTTAATTTATATAGCTGTGGTTTATGCGTGCATATTAAAAACAAAACAGCAAAATTATTGTTTACAAATAAACAACAAAAATTGACAAAACTTTTGATTCAATTATCTAAGTTGAGTTTACATTGGCTTTGTGATTTAACATGGCTTAAATTTGATAGTCTTCAGTTCTTGACTCTTACAGTTTAAAAGTTATATATGAAGAATTAAACCAATAGTTCGTAGGAAACGGTACTGATAATGGCTACATAATCCCCAAAATAGCTGCATATTCGCTGAAGAAATTTCTTAATTAAAAATTAAATTTTTAGATTTGAAAATTTCATCACTCTTTCCTTCTTTTCTATACGAAATAGATAAGAAATACAGTTTTAAATTATTAGTGTTTAATTAAATACAAATTTTGAATTTTATAATTAAAAATTATAAACAAAAATTATAATTCAAGAATTTTACAATTTGTCTCTCGGTTTTGATTTAAATTCTTTTATTTTTTAAAATTTATTTAAATAAATTGTGTATAATATTTTTTTTTTATTTTATTTTCATACCAATTAATAATTTCACTTAATTAATATAAAGAAGTTCTACTGCACCATAAAAACTTTAAATATTTTTTTTTTTATTTTTTTAAAAAATATTTAACCCTTTAAACTTGTAGAACTGTGCACCCATTTTTGCATTTAAATAAATTAGTTCTTAAAAAATAACAAAATGCAATTTTATTCTATGCCCGCCCCTGCAAATGCCAAAATCGCTCTTCTTAAATACTTTTTTTTAAATAAATTCAAAAACTTTTTTATTTATTGCACTTTAAATAAACACCAAAACAACATATTTCAAAAAAAAAAACATTATGAAACATGATTTTCATTAAAAATCTCAGATGTAAAACGTATACACATGTACACTTACATTTTACATACGAATATGCGAGTATCTAAAAAAATTCTTACACTAAATTAACACACAGAGGAAAAATTATTATAATAAAATTATTTAAATTGTTATAAAATCGGATGATAATATTATGTGCGTATAAATATATATATTTTTGCGATACTATCTTATTATCATCGAATTATACTCTGATATTCTTTATAACTCTGCAGCGCTTCGTATACATGTTGACACTTAAAGATTTAATATAATGCAATCGTCATGACTTTTTGTATAGATATATTTATATATTATATTTGTCTCACGTATTCCACATCCTCAAACGACCTATAAATTAAATAATTCAGAGATACACACACATAGTTACACATACAAACGCACACATTTATTTGAATTTAATGCTTACACGTATATAATGAACATTAGCTTAAGACACTTTCTTTGGACCTTCTTTTAGTATTACTGCCTATCCAGAAATTAGAAAAATTAAAAATAAAATAATTTTAAAAACTAAAAATAAATCAAAATCAAAATTTAATGCTAAATAAAAACACTTTTTTTAAAGAGTGCATTTTTTAAAAAGTATTTTTAATAGTAACTGATTATTCAATGATACTTTCAGTTAATTAATATCTACAATCCTTATACAAAATCACTTGATTCACCATTAATTAAGAAAGTGTTTGCAATTTATTATATTTAATTAGTAGATGTAAAACAGTAATTTTAAAAATCTCAATTCTACATATCTTAAAAAATTTGTTTTTGATTTAATTTCATTTCATTATGAAATATATTTAAAATTAAAAACATATATATAATTTAAAACAATTTGCCAACATTTTCTTG